TTTGAAGTTACAGCTATGGAAGTCTGAAATAACAGTATTTGAAAGCATCTCACATGAGTACCGGTATAAAAATTGAAATAATCAGTACTGCATCTGACATCACAATACTAGAACTGTTTAAAGCATAAATCTTGCTAGCAAGTATAATACAACGTGACTTAATAGCTTGAATCTAATGTTTATGTTTTACAGGCTACTGCATGCTGTAGTTCAGCCAGACAGTTCATAAATCAGTTCTGCTATAGATGCTAATTCCTCTTTGGCAAAAGCAAGAAGTAGATTTTTTGTTTGTTATTTATATTAAATGTAACATTAAGTGCGACAGTAAGCACAGCGCACTGAGGTAAATTAGTAGAACTATCGCGCTCTGCATCGGATACTCCTAGTCTGTGCTAACAAGATGAATTCCTTGTTGTACAGATGAATTAAGAGGGAATGGAATTATCTTTGTATATAGTCATATTCTACTTATTTAAATAGAATACAACAATTAGGTCTGTAGAGGACCAGTTACAGGAAGTGATGTTTAATTCCAATTAATTGAAATTGCCCCATGTCAGCACACAATTCTTTTAACGACATGTATTCTTCCCAAGGCAGACAATCATAAGCACAGTTTTTACTGACACATAGCATTCAGTTAGACCAAAAAAAAAAAAAAGGAGCAGAGATAATGGAAGCAAAGTGAAAAAAATAGAACTGTTTCTTGCCATAGAAAATAAAACAATGCATCATGTGCTGCAATTCTATGCTTCTACCCACTTAGAGGCTTCAAGGCATCAGGGCTTAATTTTGTTTTGTGGGTAGAGCCAATTTAATGTCTGGAAACAGCATTTTTACTCTTTTCAAGAATTACGCAATCTATTGGTCCAAGTCTTCTGTGCTGCTGCTGCATCCACCTCCAGCTACTATCCATAAACAGTTTGATGGTACAGTGAATCACTCTGGTTTTTTTTTTCAGTAGGAGAGAGAACAAAGAGATGTTCTCTGTTAAGTGACAACAGAAAACAGAAATCACACTGAAAGTAATCAAAGGCTGGTAAGGACTGTAGCTGTTTCTAAAAAGAAATATACTAGGAGTATTTCTGGACTTTATACAGCAGAGAAGATTTAGATGATCACTGGAGACAAATCAGTCTCAAACAGAAAAAGCCAAGTTTTAAGCTAAAAAGAGCTCCTCCTCTTTGGTATTTTTCAGAGGGGAAGAAGCAAGGAAGGAATGGAAGTAGCACTGCTGCTTTAATGCATTACACATGTAGCTTCTTGCATTCATTGCCACAAATGATCATTAAAGGCAAGAGCATGGTGCAGAATGAACAGCGGAATAAGTATACAGATAAGACCACGCACAGTAAGGAGAATTGTGTCCTCTTGTAAGAAAAGCAGAATAGTGTGTATTAAGGCATGAATACAAAACTTAGTATCTGCTGTTTATAGCCTATTTTAATTGTGTTTGTGAATACATGTATAGATAGATTTTGTGCATATAGATAGATAGATAGATAGATAGATAGATAGATAGATAGATAGATAGATAAAACAATAGATAGATAGATAGATAGATAGATAGATAAAACAAGGGCTCCCTCTAGTGAACTTTTAAGGGATTCAAAGTGTGGTGGTTGTGACTTCTAAAGATACAAGCAGACAAGGTTTGTAGGTAGAAATCTTATCTGCTATTAGACCACTTGTTGAAGTTGAGCAAGACACACAAGTCACTTTTCAGGTCTCTAGCACAATATATTTGTTGCAGTTGGGGAAATGGAATGTGTTACAGTGACAACCAGATTGAATGCACTGTTATGCTTGGATACTGTCACTGATGTTTACCTTGCCTGTTCATGCTTCCTCTTCCTGGTATGTGTGATATGTGACCTATTTTCTGAAACGCAAAAGGAACCATTTCATTTAGTCACTTAGGTATCTCAATATAGTTTATAAAACAAACAAAACAAAAATGCACATCTACTAATTGTATTTGTGCAGGCAGAAAGTTTACCCTTGCCACATCTTTTATATCTTTCTAATGCGCATTTCAACTGTTTCTTCTTGTCCACAGCCTTTACAATATTATTCAATATAACATCACATTCCTTTTTCCTTTCCCCTACCGTGTTAGATAATACATTTGTAACATTCCTTTCAGCCGAGAGTATATCAGAAAAATAGTCTGTGAAAGATATTATGGTTATGGCTGGTAGCACAACATGGGTAACCTTAATTCTATCATTTTGTAAATTTTCAGGCACAGGATTCAAAACTGTTGCCCTACATAACATCTCACTCTACTTCTACTGAAACTACGTGGAATGTGACTGCTTTGTTCACTCCCAAATGAACTTTCAAGATTTTAAGAGAAAGCGTAGCATACGATGCAAGTATTCTCCAACTATCATACATGAGCTATTTCAAGGTGTTGTACAGTGGCAACAGCTTCTGATTTTGTCTTTGTACAAATACTTAACTAAACCGTGGAATGCATATTTCTGTGCAAGAAATTAGAGGAGGGTTGGCAGTTACCAACATCCGTGATGTGAAATAACACTTCTATACAACAACTGCGGTCTCACAAGGACTGCTGGATTGGTGGTAACTTCCTGTGTTGTGTTTTGACCTATGCTTCAGAGTCATTATTTCCATACAGTGGTTATCACCAGTCTGCTGCCACAGGTAACTGCAGTCCCTGTTTCTCAGCCTGTGGGAGCTTACCTAAGGTGGGACTGGGTGCCTGCTTTCATATGCTGCAGGGGGAGCAGGTGATGTGGAGAGAACGGGTAAGTCACTGACTGAGGTCAGGAGGATGGAAGCAGTAATGGCTTGTGGGCTAGGGATATGCAGCAAGAAATCGAGAGAGGTAGGTGGTGGCATGTGATTATAGGGCCGGTGTTGAAACCGGGGTCAAGAACCTGCGATCATATAATTGGAGGGTGATGACAGAGCAGATGGAGGCAAGCCTTCTCCTGTGCATGTGTGCTGACCTATGCAGAGTTGGAAACTTTTGCATCCCGTACTTACACTGAAGTATGAGCAAACCACCAGTGGTAAAACTATAGTGGGAAGCTTTGATATTCTGTATTATCTGCAAAATAGTATAAGATCATATAAAAATCCTGTATTTTAGGTTCAGCCAGCCTATTTGTATTTTGGGCAAAACAGACATAAAAATCAAACAAGCACGAAAGAAGTAACTGTCCCCTGCCCTCACTACTGCAACTTAAATACCTTTTTTCACTAATATAAACTGAAGACCAGGAAAGAAAGAGAGCACATTCAAGAGACCAGGTATTTTGGTATGCCTTGAATATATTTACTAATGAACAATTATATAAACACTTGTCAATACTTTATATATTTTCCGTTCTTTTTTCCCCTCTCTTTC